TGCAGAGAATCACTTAAGCCCAAGAGTTTGAGGTTGCTGTGAGCTGGCACTCTACTGAGAGCGACATAGTGAGACTCTTGTCTCAATAATAATAATAATAATAAATTTTTTAAAAAGAGAAAAACTAGCGGGCTAGGGGCACATGCCTGTAGTCCCAGCTACTCGGGAGGCTGAAGCAAGAGGATCGCTTGAACCCGAGAGTATGAGGTTGCTGTGAGCGTAGGCTGTGGCAATGGCACTCTAGCTTGGGCAACAGAATGAGACTCGGAGAGGGGGGGAGAGAGAGAAAAGAAAATTCAGTGGAGTTTACAATTTGGGCATCCTCAGTCGGCCAGGGAGGTTAATGACAGCAAGCACTTGATTCTCTGCATCAGGAAAAGGACCTAAAAGGCAGGCTGTCGGGGGAAGGAATTTATTTATTTGCTCTTTTTTGAGACAGAGTCTCACTCTGTCACCCAGGTTAGAGTGCTGTGGCATTAGATGAGCTCCCAGAAACGTTGAACTCCTGGGCTCAAGCGATTCTCCTTCCTCAGCCTGCCGACTAGCTGCGACTATCCGCGCCCGCCACGACATCTGGCTAATTTTTCCATTTTAAGCGGAGACCGCTTCTCGGTCCCTCTGCCTCGGCCTCCCAGAGCGCTAAGACTATAGGCGAGAGCAACTGCGCACGGCCAGGAAAGGAATTTAAAACCTTTTTTTAAGAGAGGGGCAGCTGTTACGAGGAAATACTTAAGTTTTAAACTTTAAGCTGGTATGTCACTGCAGACCAGCTACAATTACTTTGGGCAAGGAAAAGCACATTCCCTGACCGTTCCGTGTTCGGTTAAACCCCGGAACCCTCGCGACGCAGGCCGACACCGGACAGCTAGCAGCAACCCGGCGGGAGGACCTCGGTGTCGGGCCGCTGTCCCATAATGCCCCGCTCGCGCCACCCTAAGGGCGGAGAGAAAGGACCGCTGCGGGGATGGCAGCGGCGGCGAGCGCCGAGGAGTGCGCACGCGCACTGACCCCGGCGGGCCCTAGCAACCAGAGCAGTGACAGTAGCAACCGCCGGAATGGTGAGTACCCTTCGGGCCTTGTAGCCAATGCGGAGAAGAGATTGGGAGTGGAAAAGGGTGACCATAGCGTGCTGAGGGTCGGAGGTGTCCTCGAAAAGCAGAAGACAGCAGGTAGCCGACTCCAGCTCCGTGGAGTCAGAGGCCTTAGGCGAAAAAAGAAGTCCTGGCAGGGGGTGGTGTGGGGTGAGGGCGGCCTGAAGAGGATTGGAGCTCGGGTTAAGGTGGACGGACTCTGACACAAGAAAAGGGAGGGCAAAGAGCAGGAAATTCTCTGAAAAGTGCGGAATTGGAGTGGAAATGGTGATGGGCAGGAGAGTGAGGTTAAAGATGTCTCTTTACATAGAAGTAATTTAAGTTTCTTCCTGGTGAGATGAAGGGAGGGGCTGGTTACCAGAGGGGTCTGTGTAACCCCTATTGCAGCAACATTCATAACCTGTGATGTACCCAGCTTGTTCTCTGAATGACTGTAAGTGCAGTTATTAGGTAACACTGTAAAACCATTCTGATGGGTATACAGAGGGTGCCAAAAAAGTATGCACATTTTAAGAAAGGATAAAATTGGATGAAAATTGTAATACTCAATATATGCCGATGACAAAAGATGAATACAAGTCACGTCTGAGTGCCTTTTGTAACTGCAGAAGTCAAACAGGACTTAGGTATTACAGTTTTATTTTATTTATTTGTTTATTTATTATTATTTTTTGAGTCTCACTTTGTCACCCTTGGCACAGTGTCAAGTGTCGTGTGGTCACAGTTCACAGCAACCTCAACTCTTGGGCTTAAGTGATTCCCTTGCCTCAGCCTCCCGAGTAGCTGGGACTACAGGCACCCACCACAACCCCTGGCTTTTTTTTTAGAGACAAGGTCTCGCTTTTGCTCAGGCTAGTGTCGAACTCCTGAGCTCAAGCAATCCACGGGTATTATAATTTTAATACGTTTTTTCCTTTCTTAAAATGTGTATATTGGTGTGGCACCTGTGGCTCAAGGAGTAGGGCACCGGCCCCATATACCGGAGGTGGTGGGTTCAAACCTGGACCCGGCAAAAACCGCAAAAAAAAAAGTGTATACATTTTTTCAGCACCCTCTGTATTAGGGATTTTTTTTTTTTCAAATTTCAGTATGAAAAAGTATGGACTTGTCCAAATGTAGATTATGAAGTTTAAATATGATTGGGGGGTTCAGGAATGTGCAATACACCTCAAGTGATTCCAGAATTTGGGGATGTCCCACTACACTTTGAGAAACGCTGCTTCCTCCTTAGGTTTGAAATCTACCAATCCAATCAGTTCTTTATGAAGTAATGATTTTACCTAGTGATGCTCCTCAGCTACTTAAAGTGTGAACTCCCTTGCTTACATACTTGGTAGTTCCAACTAGTAGTTTAAAAAGGGTTACAGACCCAGCCAAAGCTATTTAGCAAAGTATATGATTGTCCTGCCAGATGGAGATGTTTGTGAAAAATAAGTATAATTGTGTTCTTTTTGTGATTCAAATGCTATTCAAGTGAGCAGAAATTGAGCCCAGGAGATTGAAATAATGAGGAAGTCATGTCCACTCTCAACCACAAGATTAAATACCATTCTTTTAAAAGTAGTTTTCCCCCTTGCTCTCCTTATTTTATTCCACAGGAATTTAGCTGAAAACCACAGCTAAAAGTCTAGGAAAGCTAAAAGTTCTGGAACCTAGGTGAAGAAAGATTCAGCCCCAAGTAATTATGAAAGTTCAAGCCATAGGATTATTGAAAATTTTCAAATAGAGAATCAGAGGGCGGCACCTGTGACTCAGAGGAGTAGGGGTCTGGCCCCATATACCAGAGATGGCGGGTGCAAACCCAGCCCCAGCCAAAAACTGTAAAAAAAAAAAAAAAAAAAATGGAGAATCAGAATTACTGCAGTGGTGCATCACTTAATGGAGATAATGTTCTGAGAAATTCATCATTAGGCAGTTTTGTCCTGCAAACATTATAGACTGTACTTACACAAACCCAGATGGTATAGCTTACTACACACCTGGGCTACAGGTACTGTCTGTTGCTCCTAGGCTACAAATCTGTACAGCATGTTACTGAATACTGTATGCACTTAGAGTGCAATATTGTTTATTTTTCTAAACATAGAAAAGGTACAGTACAAATATGGTATTATACAAATATAGAATATGTGTGGCATATACAAATATGGTCCACAGTTGACTGAAATGTCATCATGCACTGCATGACTATAATTGCATGCATTAGCTGAGTCTGCACACTGCTAGACTTAGGACCCTCCAGAAATATAGGCCCAGGTGGTATTTCAGTTTTTAAAATATTAGCTTCCAATGTCCTAAAAATGATCTTATTTCACATTAAAACCCAGATTTTGGCATCTCTGAAAAATCAGAAATACCACGTTTTACCATTAGACATATTGGTTTTTATATGTTAGTATTACCAGAATATAGTGCCGTATATTTGGCAGCATCTTTTCTTTTTCAATGATACATAAAGTAAGGGTGTTACTTACAATTAAGGAAGTTTTTATATTTGAAGAAGTATGGCATTAGGGTAACTCTTTTCCCTTATTCTCACCCCCAACAGTTGTCTGGAACGAACTAAAGATAATCCTCTTTATGTGGGCTCTATGCTTACCAAGGCAGCTTTACCCATTAATGATGTCCTCTTGGTCCTTTAGGCACTTGAATTTTTGACTTCTACTATCTATAGGGGAACCAGTGACCTTATATTATTTATATTGCCACAATAGACAGCTAGATTGCTTCCAACTGGGCCTCCACAAACAATGTTGTGGCAAAAATGTGCCTTTTTATGGATCTCTCTGGGAAACACACCCAGGAATAGTATTGCTCCTTCATAGGATCTATACATACTTAATTGCCCTAGATATTGTAAAACTGCTTTCCAAAATGGCTCAACCAATGTTAGCTTTCTCCAGCAATGCATGAGAGTTCCATTTCTCTGCATGCTCTCTGACTTTCTAACTTTTGCCAATCTGAGGGTGTATTTAGCGTCCCGTTGTTTATTTTGCAGTTTTCTGATTTTCAGTGAATTCAGACACCTCTTGATAGTCTTATTAGTCATTTGGGTTTCAGTTTCTGTGAATTATCTGTTCATATTTTTGCCAACTTTTCCTCTTTATGAATTTTAGAAGTTCCTTGTGTATTCTAGATATTAGTCCTTTGTTGGTTTCACATTGAAAATATCTTCCAATTTTACTGCTGACTTTGTCAGTGGTGTTCTTTACTTGCTGAACTTCATTTGCTCTAACGTTTTGTCAGTTTATTCTACTAGGTTTTCTATATAGATGATCATTTGCACATAGTGACGATTTTATTTTTTCCTTTTAATCATTCCAGTTTTATTTCTTTTTATCATAACATTGACAAAGACCTTCTGTACCATGTTAAGCAGTAGCAATGATAGTGGGCATCCTTAATGCATTTGAAATCTTTTTTTTTTTTTAATGTTAGGGAATCATTGAGGGTACCATCACTGCTTACATTTTCTGAGTGAAGTTCCTCTATTTATATGAAATCTTTTTTTCTTTCTTTCTTTCTTTCTTTTTTTTTTTTTTTTTTTTTGAGGCAGAGTCTCATTTTGTCTCCCTTGGTAGAGTGTGGTGGCATCATAGCTCACAGCCACCTCAAACTCCTGGGCTCAGAGATCCTCTTGCCTTAGCCTCCCAAGTAGCTGGGAATACAGGTGCTTGCTACAACGCCCGGCTATTTTTTTTTAGAG